GACATGATAAACTCCTAAAGCTGTTTTGGTGGATATTGCTCCATAGTAATTTCATTCAAACAGAGTAACTGTGATGAGCAACATATCAGAAAAACATGCAACTAGCAGGGAAGACCTGCTTCTACGTACCCTGCCTCATGTGAGAAATCGATACTGACACACAGTTTTGGACGGATGAATAAGGACTGCCTTCACAATGAAGGGATTGCAAAACAGGGAGTGGGTTCTTGTTTTGGGGGAGTCCTGCTCAGTGGTTCCAAATTTAAAACATTTAGATGGCAGCCTGCAGCGAGATTAGCCTTGCTGAATGTTGCCGTGTGACAAATCCCTGCAGTATCTTACCTGATGCCCAGAACAATCTGAAGTAGCAGCAAGAGAAAGATGAAGATGTGACAGAATGGACAGGGATGGATTCACACCACAGAGAAACACATCACAAATGGAGAGAAATGAATCAGGCAGGCGATGCATAGCTGAAAAGAATCATAAGTTACCACAGTCACTGTCAAAGCTGAACACAGCAGAATTTTAACACCATTGCCACTGTCTGCAGAGTTTTGTTTTCATGTCATCAAAGTCAAGCTTCCACCTTTTTACATGAGGATTTCTACATCCTTTTGTTTTCTGTATTATATAAATCAGCCTGAATGAGAATTCACACTGTTCTTCACAATTCATATTTCACATATCCCCAAAGGAGCTTCTCAATAGTCAATTTAGATCATATTTAAAACAGCAAGAGGGATGATCTGGATAAATAGCTGGTGCAAAAGTGAATTGAACTAATGTAACATCAAGCTACTGCCTGAGTTCAGCAGCTCCTGTAGGGGCTTATGACAAAAGAGTATCCAGTTCTTTTCTTGTCTCCTACGAGGATAAATTAATTATACCAGACTAATACTAATCTGGTTATGGTAACTTTCTGGAGGTCCTTGCTTTCCACATTGTGACCCATTTCCTATTCTCTGCTGGAAAAAAAAATCTGTTTTTAAAATAAATCTGAGTACTTGTAAAAAACATAAATTTGATAGCTGTCCTTTATCTTGCTATAAAGCACGTATATCATACATGTAGCTGAGCAACTGTATGCATGCCAGCTCATGAATAAGCATTACCCTAATCTAGAGGGATTTCCTAAAAGGGTTACTTCAGTCTCTCTGACTTTTCAAGAGTTGGGTTTTCTATCAGTATTGACACTGAGGTCAAGCAGTGCCATTTGTGTCATTCAGACCTTGTCTTAAAAAGAAGAACAGATGCGCTGTTTCAACACTTCCACTAACACATTCTAACTAATGTATTTGGGAAGACTAGTACAGACAAAGCAATTCAAACTAAATACAGAGAAACCTAGATTTCCTCCAAAGCCTTTACTTGCTTGGTTCAGCCCATACTAAAGTTGCTGTACCTGGTATACATTGGTCTTCTCAAGTATACTAGTAGGAATATTTTAGCTATTGCATTCTAACACTATACATTTTATCCCCATATAGATGAAGCTTCTGTATCATCTGAGGTGTAAAGTTGTGAGAAACTAGGTCTGAGATATCAAATCATTTCACTTCAGCCTCAAATTCTCTGTACAAGGTAACAGATGTATTTTACTGCCAGACAACACTGGATTTCAGATGGTGGAATAGGGGTGAAGGGGTCTGTAACCTATTATTAATTCTTCTAAAAAGCTCAGCAAACCATAACAAAATCCTCAGCATTATAAAATTCAGTTAAGGATGGATGTCCCGTTTTGGGTAATATGTTTCTAGGCAGTTTTTAATCTTCAAGGCAGTCCATAGTTCAATGTATATAATAAAACACTACATTTGCAACACTTGTAGCCCTTGTTTCACACTCTCATTTTTCTAAATCACTGTCTCAAAACTGTTTAAACTATTCAGGCTTATCAGGGGACCTTTGGTCACTTGAAGAATAGAATTTCTTGTGAAAATCTGCATGAAAAACATGCTGACAAAGTTTGTTAGATATAAATTATAATTTGATTCCCCCTAATTTTTAAGAGTTGTCATAGAAACATGGCTAGAGGTAATGACTTAAAATAAGCAGCTTTTAATTTGCATCAAATTTGAATGCCATTAATTTATCAAAAGGTTGGAAACAACAATTAAAGGAACATGCTCTCTGTTAAACTGTATTAAAAAAATTTTAAAAGAGGTAATATTTTCATAATAATATAATTTGCTTCTGGCCAGTGCAGAGAAATGACACACTGAAAGCTTTTCAAATTTACAGCAAATATGATTTTTAAAACTAAAACATTTTTCTCACTTTGTAGGCCAAATACTAACTTAATGGAATATTACAACAACTACCCTATTCTTGTAATTTAAAACACAATCTTTTTTCTACCCCACTTAGCCATAAGCCTTTCAAATGACTTGGCCCTGGAGGCATGCCTATGTCAAACTGGGCATACAATTCATATCTGTATCTACCCAAAAAGAAGACATCTGCTTAGGGTAGGTTCCACATCCCAGAAAAAGCTTTATAAAAATCTGGCAGATGGTAGAACTGGGTAGGACCTTTGGGCATTTTTACACATGGTTGTCCCACAGCATTGGGTGCTTTTAAAAGTGCCCAGCACTGAGACTATACAGCTGTATAAATGGAGAAATGTACATCGGTGCTGTGAAAATGGCAGCAGCATGCTTTTGAACTAAAACATATTGGGGGTGTTTTAGTTCAAAAGCACACCACAACCATTTTCTGCACACTGATGCGCATTTTGCGACTTATACAACTGCATGTGGTACAGCGCAGTGTGTGTCAGCTTGTGTGCAGAGCAGACTCAATCAAGTCTGCTCCGACCTGCCAGATCTCAGGCATGTTGTGGCACAAAAAAGTAGGTGTAGAAATGCCCTTAGAGACTAACTGATTCAGAGAGGCATGCATTTTCATAGGCAACAAGCCTATTATGCTTTTACACCAGATCTACTGATTTTTTAACAAGTTTTTCTGTATTAGCATGCACTGCAACTGAGATCAGTTTCCAGTCCAGGGAGTTTATCAGGATATTTCTACATTGTCCTTTCACAGAAATCAACACCATTTCATGCTGAAACCAAAATAATTTAACTCATCTAACAGAGAAGAAATAGAGTGAACCCAGTTCCAACGATTCCCTGGGCCATGTATCATATGTGTTTACTGATTTGCAGTTAACCTAATAAATAAGAATATAGTGAATGGGACTGTAGCTCAAATACCGGACAAATTTTGAGGAGGAGGGAAGGACATCTCCCCTTGCCAGATTGATGCAACACAGCATATTTCTCTATTACACTGTTCTTAGATGCAATATGATTTGTTACAGCATATACTGTACTGCATTCCCAGATGGGTATTAAAATAACACAGCACAATCTAAATTGACTTCAGTGAGATCCTCCTTCCTCCACTGACTCCCAACCCCCGTCCTCCATTTTCTGTTCATTTGTTAATTTAGTGCTCACACTGGGTGCAGCTTGACAACCCTGGAGAATGAAATCATTTCCATGTAGCACGAGCAGCAGGACAGAAAGACTTCCCACACTGCTCTGCAAGCTTGTCTCTATCCTGACTAGCAGGAACCATTTCTGAAAGGATGGGTCAGTCTCCCAGATGATTCACAATTTCCCTACTCTGCTGATGCTGCCATCATTCCAACAAGGGGGCCAGTTAGTACCAGTCATGATGGTGGGCTTCAGAGAAACAGACAGCTGCCCACTAGAAAATGGAATGAGCACAGCACACGCAAAATCAGACGGGCACAGCAACTTGTGGCCAATAACTAAGCTAGACTGGGTTTGAACCTGCAGCTTTGGGGAAGACATGTTGCATAGTGTCATAAACAGTGCAGCATATGTAAAAAGGTGTAATTCACAGGTGTGATATCCCACCCATGAATTATAAGATATAACCAACCAATGCTGTCTGGGCAGAAAACTAGCTTAAGCAGAAAAGTCACTGAACACAAACACTCCACAAGGCTAACTATGAGCACAGAAACAGCAGCAGCAACAGTTAGAGATAAGGGAAGGGCAGAGAAGGGAGCAGCTGTTGATGACATTAGAGACCAGGACATGTGGAAAGAGAGAGAGAGCAGCTTAAAGGAAGAGGACAAGAGTGGAGAGAGTACACTATAAAGGATAGCAAAGAGGGAAGAGTAAACTGCATTGAGCTTATATCTAGGACTTTGATCTTTGAGTTATCAAATCATACACATTAAAAAACCCCAAAAACAGACAAACCTAGACTCTTGGAGTTTTTCTACTGAGTGGCTGTGGGAACTAACACCCAAACATCATTTTGCTCACAAACCTGCCGTAGCCCCTCAATGGCACTGCATCCCCATAGCTAGCTGTGACCCACTCCTTGCTGTATATCCTATATGGCAGGGGTAGGCAATGTTTTTTGGCCAGTGTTGAAAAAAACACGTCTACCTTGGAAGATGCTGGAGTGCCAACATGCTGGAACCCAGAGTAGCTGTTTGCAGCCTCCTGACTGCAGCTGGCCCATGGGGTCCGGTATGCTTGCAGCAGGGCTTGCAGCCTCCCAGCCACCTGCTGGGAGCAGCCTCGGCTCTGTGACTGGCAGCAGCTGCTTAGATCCTGGGCTGGCAGTGGTGTGCCGAGCAAAGTGGCCTAGTGTGCCATTCTCGGTACGTGTGCCGGGGGTTGCTGACCCCTACTATATGGTGTTATTGTTATAAGAGGTTTATAACATGAAGCTTAATGGTTGCTAATAGAGCTTTTAAATTCAGGCTCCAAGCTGTATGTTAATAATAGTGTTAGTAGGGGGATCTGTGTAATAATGGAGATCCATTTTCTTTGCCTATTATTTAGTCACTTTAACTAATAACAATAACATTTTGCATGCATATAAAACTGTCCTCTCAGGAGGTTTTATCAACCTTATCTAATAACAGTGGTATTTCAGTATGCCCCAGCCTGTACATTATTACTTAGCAGAATGATATAGGTTAATGAAAGCTTGGCACAAAGACTTACAAGATCAAGTGCAGCTGCCAGGATTGAGGCATCAGGGATTGTGCCTGGCTCACAGCAGTTCAGAAGAAATTGAAAGCGCTTCATGCCTTGTCTTATTGCTCCCAGGTTCACTACATTTTTAGATTTTCCACCTTCCTGGTTGGAGGCCAAATGATCATCAAAACCGTGGCAACCTAAGGAGGTAGAGGGTAGAAAGGGGATGCCAGGGAGGGGATGGGGACCAAGGAAGAAAAGGGGAACACAATATCTCACAAATAAAGAGTTGCATAGAAATCCTGACGTGTGATCCTGTCCCAGCTCCTTTCTTCAACTTGACAACCTGCATCAAGCACAATCTGAGCATCCGTGGCAGTTCCTATGCCACTCAATAGCTTAGATGAGACATGTTACCTGTGAGCCTGATTCTGAACTTGCTTATACTGACATAAACAAAATTAACAAACAAACACAAAACATTCCTTGGATCTCAATAGACTGCTTTAGATTTAGTCTAGTTTAAGTGAACTCAGAAGAGACCTCAAGGAGGCCACCCCCCTCCTTCAAGGCAGGTTCAACTATACCTAAACCATTTCTGGCAGATTTTTGTCTGAACTACCCTTACAAAGCTCCAGTGCTGGAGATTCCACAATATGGCCCAATGCCTTTATTTATTTTTTTTAATGCTACTATGCTATCAGAAACTCTTTCTGTTTCTTTGAGCTTTTTCCTGTCTCCCCTCACTCCCCCTCCAAACTGGTCAGTCTGTTTTGATTATTTTACCCATCTATCAGCCTCTGACTTAAATTGCCATCCTTCATAACGACCGATTGTTCTTATGAACAAGTATGCAATAATCCTATTTGTTGTATATTATTTTGATAATTTTATACTATCAAGCAACATTTAAACAAATTAGTAATAATTCTAAGAAATGCATGAGGCAGGTATCAGATATTATCTCCGAGCCTAAATTTCCAGAAGTGATTATTTAGTTTTAGAAGTGTTAATTTCAGGTTGCCCAATTGAAGATCCCTTACATGGCCTTATTTGCACCCATCTCTTGAAAATCAGGCCCTTTCAGTTGTCTCATATTTGGTGCACCTGAACATGGAAGCACCCATCCTGAGTGCTTGACCAATCACTCTTGAAAATGAAACCAATAAAGCTCCTTTTGTGCATGATACTAACTTGGCATATTAATTTTGTGTGACAAGTCAACAAATCATGCTGCATACTGGAATGAAAACTTTCCAGTGATAAAGGCAGATAAGTAGTTGAAGCCTACCAATATATGCAGTGAATATAACTTGTGAATGTTATTTGGAAGAAATATTGAAATATTCATTATTTGCTGGTAAAACACAAGAAAATTAAAGGAATCCTACACTGAAGCAATGAGCAGGGAATGTGTGGCTTTGATCACACAGCCTCTCCTCCCTCTCCAGTGCAAGCAAGGGAGATTAATTAGATTTCTTTATCCCCACAACAGCAATACTGTCCATGGCTCAGCTGCCATCTTTGCCTTCTTAAAGGAAAGTCAGAAAGGTCTGAGGGTCAGGTGCATAACAGATGGGAGTATATAAGAGTTTCATAGCCTCTGAGGGCACAGGGCTGGAAATCTTAAGCAGCTGGATAGAGCTATCAATGAGTAGAAAAGGAGTAAAAGGAGAAACCTGAAAAATAGTTTGAAATCCAAGCTACCTAGTCAAAGCCAAGACTAGCCAGATCCTGAGCTTTCTTTTTATATTCCCATTTATAGGCATAGAAAGCTCTTAAGGAATAGCAAAGGAACACAGAACACTGGATTGGGACTCTGGTAATTTCTAACATGGATTTAAGGGACAAAAGCTAGGCAACACCTTTGAAAAGACATACCTTGCCAATGGAATACAGAGAACAGCTGAAACTCTGGCACTTCTCCAAAAATAATTAAATGAGAAGCACTTAGTGCTAAAGCAATAGGGAAACCCCAAATGGGTATTTTTGTCTTAATTATACAAACAAGCATTAAGTAAGTTTAATTTTTATAAGAATGAATGTTCATGGTTGTCATGATATGCCCAGAAATAAAAACAAATCTGTTTTTGAACACATTTCATGAGAATAAAAGCCAGAGTCACCAAGAAGGATTCTTTATATATATATATATACACACACACATATATATATACACACATATATATAAAGTGGGCAACACTATCCTATTTGTACCTCTTCTTTGCTTCTCAACTATCTGCCACATTTAAATGTACCTGCTAGAAATAAACAGCCATTATGTCATAATATCTTGTTTGGGCTGCACACAGATATTGGGTTCCATGTCTATCTAATCTTTCAGGTTCTGATTCTGTGCTGTGTCTCTATGAGGTGCAGAACAGAAACTCACAGTCCAAGTGCCTTTTTAATCCTGGTCTGCTCCCAAAGGCCTCAAACAATGTAGATACTGGGTCTTAGCTGCTTAGATATAGCAGCTTCCATGGGTTTTTCTATGGACAACAATCATACCAGAACCCCTTCAGCACCCAGTGTTGTATTTCCACCAAGTATTCCTAGAATCTATAAAGGGATGCTGGAAATGCTATCTTATGGCTGTCTTCCACAAGGTCTACATGGGGGAAATTTTCACCTGGACATACCAAGGACTTATATTGCCCTGCTTTACATGATATAAAAATGGGACAGAATATAGGTTAAGAACCTTTTACCTTACACGTTTAGCCCACACTCTTACTCTCAGGTCTTCAATCTGATATATGACAAGATAAACTAGTAACTTACTGATAGTTCAGGGGCTAGATCCTGAGCTAGCTGAAATCAGTGGGAATGACTGATTTTAATGATAGCAGAATCAGTCCCCCTTGTTAGTGATCAAGATGCTAATTTATTTTCCCCACTAATGGAGGACAAGCTTGAATTAGCCAATGATTTTTAGCTGCTGCAAACTAGTATAGCTCTGTTAACTTCCCTGGAGTTGGGCTGATTTACAGTGCTGAGGATCCAGCCTAGTTAGTAGAAATCATTGCCTAAACTCTGCAAAAGCTTTACATATTTAGGGAGTTTTGTACTTCTCACTGTCACTTGCTGTGTGTATATAAGATTACTTCTCTGAAGAGGCTTTATACAATGAACACTCAAAGTTATTTTGTCCGATTCGTGAGAGAAAAATGCTACTGTAAGTTTTGCATCGAATGAAAAATGCTTTAAATAAAAACCTCAAAGAACAAAGTCTCCCCAGTAGAATACATTGCCGCTCACTTCTTTAGCCTGATACTGTATTCTGAGTATAAGCTCAAGACCTCTTAAAAATAAATGTTCAATTGTGTCATTCATACACAGGTATGAAATACATAAACATCCCAGTGACCTTAGTGACAAACTATGATGAAGGCTAAAATTCATAAATAACTTGACAAATGACTAGTCTTTTTTTTTCCTTTTACTCTAATTGGGTTTTTTCTTCTAATGCTTTTTACCCAGTTGTCATATTTTAAAACAAAGGCAAAAGGAGCAGGATGTGGAGAAAGCATAAGCACAGTGATACGACAGCACAACATCACAAATGCCAAAAAGAAGTTAGGACAGTAACACTGACAAAAGCTCTATCCCAGAGTCAGCCATTCATTCAGTTCTTCACAGCTTAATAACATATCCATCTTACTTGAGAGGCTTCTCCCTTGATTTCTAGGGAAGTTATGGATACTTAGAAAAGTTTACAACCCCATATACACATTGATCTATGTGTTACTTTTCACTGTATTCACAAAAAAATCCTACTCTCAAAGGCACTTTTTGTATATTTGATTAATTCAGTTTGATATAATTTGGGAAAAATCACGTTACCCTTGTTAATCCCTAAATCACAAATTTCCGTTTGAAACACAAAACATAGCATAATGTGTGTATACACTATTCAAAATACATGTATAAATGCCTGCTTGCAGGCACAGGGTTTGATCCCACAAGTTCCAGAAGATGGCTGACAGTGATCTAGTCATACAGCTTATCTTGAAAATCTGTGCGTTATGTACTCACATTTGTATCACAAACACACGCGCTAGCATAAGTATGGTTTTTTTTGTCCTGGGATTTCTCTCTCATTACATATCAATTTCCTATTGGATGTGATAACATACTCCCTTTACTTTCACAATTCATTTTTCCAAATTTGCTACGACGTTTAGAAACATGTCTCAAAATCCCAATTTTCCTAACCTTACAAACAATAGCCAAATCCCACCCATAAGAATCTATGCACGCTTTGTCAGTCTTGTCTTCCCCAACCATAAAGATCTTTTTCTTAGCTTTCACGCCACCCACTGACTCACATTTATTATGGCATTTCTAATGCATGCACTGGATTTCAAAGCCAAGCATGTCCCGCATATAAATCCCTTTACAGACAAACACACAAATCTTAATGTACACTTCTCTTGGGCAGGTGAAAGAGATGTTTCAATTTTTCATCATAAAAGTATGTGACATACAGTGTTATTCACAATGTGCTGAGATACTTTAGATAGTTTAAAGCTCACATAGGTAATAAGAGCATCATCTTAGTATTACATATGCTAAGATGTGTTACACATAACATACACTATTATATAATGTAACACAGAATAAAGAAACTCTTCATTTGAGAATTGCAGTCATACTTGAAATTCTGTACATAAAATGCTGGGAACTTAAATTTAATAAGAATTTTGGATGTGCAAGGTCAGCCTTAGATTTCCAATTCTGAAACACACCTGATGCAAAGTAGAATAGCAAACTGCACTCGTATCTCTAGCAAAAAGCTTTATGTTCTCATTTTGTAATAACAAATTGGTACAGTCAAACTGTTAACTGGCTGTCACTCCAAGCTGAGAAATAAAGGAAGGATCTTTGTGTTTTATGATTCATGTCAAGGATTTCACATCCTCTTCAACTGAATTAACCTCTTTCTGGTAATTTTTTGGCCAGATTGTGCTCAGAAATGCTTAATTGAGGGTAACATGTAGAAAGTGTTGAAAATCTGTGAGCATAGATAAAGGCAAACAAGACAAAAAAGATGCTAGGGGAAATGTAAGCAATGGAGGTGGGTTATTTTTAGGTTGATACAGCAACATATAGCCTTCAGGCAAAAGACTAATCCTTTTGGACTATAAGGCCAGATCCACAAGAATAACATTTTAGTCACCAGTGAGAGGGTGCAAAAGTAGTTGTGTACCACCTCACGTTCCTTAGTGTCGAATGTCCTAGGGTACAATTTAGAGTAGCCTTATGATTGCTCTGAGTTGTGCTGATTGACAGTGGATACCCAGGAGCTGTTTTGATAGCCAGAGGTCAGCCAAATGCAGTATTTCTTTGTTCATATTCTTTTCTTTGGTTGTGTCCCTGCTGATGGGGGGGAGCAAGGTGAAAGTAAGACAGAAGCAATGACATCAGCTGTTACCTAAGGATTCCCTCACACTGGTGGAATTCTCAGGCTCACTGGCTTGGCAGCCTTTGGTGTGCTGGAGACCAGGTGCTGAGCAACTACAACAAGGGCAAGGATCTAATCTAGAGCATATCTCTATTCAATGAATGAAACTGCAAATGCAGCTTTCCTGCAAAATACAGGATGCCATGATTATGTTGATCTGATAACTCATATGTGGGTAGCTATCATTTCTGAAAAGAATCACTGTGGTAAGACTATAGCATGCTGTAGTCATGCTGTATAAGAATTGCTGTATAGGAAACCAATCAACATGTATTAGGAATGGACAAGCCAAAAGGACTTCACTTAATGACCAATGCCCTATATTTTACTTCTACTGTTGACATTGTTTGCTTAAACCAGAGGTGGCCAACATAGGGCTTATGGACCATATCTGGCTCACAGAGTTGTGTTTTTTGGTCCACAGGACTCCTAGAGGATCCAGGAATTTGAGGGATGAACCCGCCCCCAAAATCCAGGGTATAGAGCCACACTGACAATTCATATCAGCAATAGAGGGCAAGTGATGGCTGCATTAACTCCCACAGATGGTGCCATCACTGCTGGGGCTCACCTGCTACCATTGTATCTGGAGCTGGCCTGTAAGGCTGCCAAGTGAGTTTGATAACCCTGGCATAGACAACGTGTTTTGTATTTACTATACTCCAAAGCCAAGTCATGATGAAATTCAGCCATGGATTAATGTCTAATCATGTAAAATATAATGTCAAGGAACATAACAGACCATGAAAATAGTAGAGCGAAGGATGAAAAAAAATCCACCCCTTTGTGTGCGTGTGCGTGTGTGTGTGTGTGTGTGTGTGTGTCTGTGTGTTGCTTTAAATAAAAATAAAAGAATGTCAAGACGCAAGGCTGGCTCCTTGAGAACAAGGATCAGGTTTCTGAGCTGAGACTATCTGCAACTGGATGCCTGCTTGAACATATAATATCCTATTCCTTTAAGTATTACTTGAAGCTCTTTTCATAAAAACACTAATTTTTTTAAAATTGTAATTGCCTTTAAATATATTTTCTTGGAAAGGTATTATTATTATTATTATTATTATTTGTTTGAGAAAAAGGGACAGCATCTCTTTAATGAATGGTATGCAGACACTAGACATGCAAACACAGAAGAAAAGAGATAATTAAAACAAGGTTTATACAGCTATTTCCATTTCATCAATGCTGGACTTTGCTAAAGCTGTCATATAGTCGTAAAAAGCTGATGGAACATCCATCATTATATTAAGGTATGAAAGATTCACATGCCTTATTTTGGACTGAGTCATTGCTTTGGATCAAGTATAAATTTTTCAAGTTTGTCAATTTGATTCGATTCAATTTTCCTTTGAAAGTCCAAATATTATATAATCTTAATTTCTTTGGAGATATTTCCTTTTAAAAAATTCTATGCTGCTAGAGTTTCTTTTAAAATCAAAATGAAAGAAAAGGGGAAGAGAAAGAAAATGGTTACAAAGAACAAAAAGTTGGAGAACCGAACGGTTACAAAAACAGTGAAAAGCAGGGAAAGGAGAAGAAGGGCTAAAATATAGAAAGAAAGACTGATAGGTAGATAGAAAGAAAAAGAAAAAAAAGAAAAATTAAAAAAGAAAAGAACCCTGATTTCTAACCATCTTTTTCTTCTGTGTGATGAAGCTTGGATGAGTGTCTTCGGCAGGTGCGCCATTTACCAAGACGCTTGAAGAAATTCTCCTCTTCATCTCGCCCATTCTCTAGGCCACCTCCAGGTCCTCCTTCTGACAGCTTCACTGCACTAGTGAATTTCACCTGAACAAATGAAGAAGCAGACTGGAGTCTCATCATGACATCATATGGTCTCTTTCATTTTTGTCATGGAAATGAAGCATGTACAGGATAGGCTATAGCAAGGGTTGGCAATAATTTTGTGTGGAGGGCCGCTTACTGAGTTTTGGCAAGCCATTGAGGGCCATATGACAGGCAGGCAGGGGCAGATAACTATTAATTTTCTGAAGTTTTTAGGGGCCCTGTGGGCCAGACAGAATGGCCTGGCGGGCTGCATCTGGCCCGCAGGCCACAATTTGCCCACTCCTGGGCTATAGCATTGTACATCACTACAGCAACAGATCTGGGTCTATGGCATTCCATTCCCAAAAAGGGAATCTTCTCAGATACCATAGCCACTACCATCTTTTACCTGATCTCTCATTTAGATGACGATCTCTTATTGCTGTGCCATACCATTTGACTTCTATGTCCTCATCTAACCCCCTTGACATGACTGTTCTTTGTTTACTTTTCAGCTACCTGGTTCCATCTTACGTGTGTCCTTAAAGACTTGTAACTTTCAACTCTTCCATGTTTTTCCAAAGTTGCTTTTCTGTCCCCCCATTATCATGTCCAGTAATTCAATAGTCAGTCCCACATACAAAAATAGTGAAGTAGTATCATTGCTGTCCCAGCCTGGATCATCACCCAGCACCTCCCATCTCAGGGGAATGGAAAATGTCACCTGCCATTTTCAGTCTCTCTCCTTGCAGGATGGCCTCCCTTGTGCTTGTGAGGCAAATACAGCCATCATCACTTTAATGTGGTTATGCTGATCTTTGGTGAGGGGTTTGGATCTTGGAATTCTAGAAGGGGGGGTCCAAACCCAGAGCAAAGTACTTCAGGGTCTCTATGTATAGAAATGTTAGACAGAAGAACAAATGGGAGGCTGGGGACAGAGGCATATTACTACATAGATGTTCTTTCACTTCCTTAAAGATTGTGGGGAATCAGAGAAACAAAGAGGTTACCCCTCCAGAATCTAGGGAAAGAATTTACCCACTACACCACCCCACAGAGCTGCTGGTACCCAGCCAGGATGGTTAGGTTGAATGCATGCACACTTACAAACAGTAGGTCACAGACTTCTGACCTTGGGAGGTAATTCGTTCCATGGCTTTGGAATTCTACCAAAATCCCCTGGTCCCCAGAGCTCCATAGATTTTTGCTCCCGGGCATGATCAGCTACAATGTCCATGCAGATCACAGAAGTTTCCCTGGGAGCTGGAAGTGGTCTGTAAGTAGCCAGACCCTGGCCCTCTATCCTTCCTGCTAATCTGAAATGATTTATTTACCTTGGAACTCTGCCTGATGAAAGAAAGACGGTCTACAGAGCTGATATCCAGGAGGTCTTCCACTCCATCAGCCAATCCAGAGAGGGAGGACCGCTTCAGCCAGTTCCCTGTTGCAGAGAAAGCCAGTTAGAACAATTATGAAATTGTTTCAAGCTGTCTCTATCAACTTGTACAAACATGTTTCTTTGCAATGGAAATAATGGGATATGAGAAAAGGTTGAAAAATAAGGCGTGTTCATGTTACATGCATTAAAAGTTTTAAGATTTAATCCACAGCATGAAAGACTGAATGTTAGGGTTATGATAGATGAAAACCAAGACAGGTCAGTGAGAAAAGATGAGTAATACTTAATTCTTTTCCTATTGAAGTCTGTTCAGAATGTTTTTCTGGGAGGAAGGATGGTCCAAGGAATAGGGAATTAGCCTCTAAACCTGAAAGACCTAAATTCAATTCCCTGCCCTGCCACAGACTTCCTTTGAGATCTTGGGTAAGTCATCAGATCCTATTTCACTTAGTAGGCACTTAAGTGCCTAAGGGTGATCCTAATCTACCCAGCTTGAGTCCTTGAAAAAAAGTTAACGCAAAAGGTGGATGGCTGCTCTTTCTGTTCGCTGCTTTTTGTGACTTAGTCTTAAGGCTACACTGATAACATGTTACCTTTCTTCAAAGACTTGAGCAGAATCACACTTTTGTATTTAATATGTGGAATAGGATTGGGCCCTTCGTCTCTTTGTATGCCTCAATTACTCCCTTGTAAAATTTTCTTGTAAAACAGGGATACAACAGCAATGTCATACCTCGCAGGTGTATTGTGAAAATTAATACATTAAAAACTATGAGGCACTCAGACACTGCCTATCTATACTATCCAAGTCCCCAGATAGATATTTTCCCTGCAAATCTGCACATGCAATACATATATATAATATAGAGAGACATACATTTACCTATGGGGAGTTTGAGTTTCTTTCGGAGAGAGATCCGTCGGGAACGGGAGCGAGAGCGCCTTTCAGTGGTTGTCCCAGAGTGAGCTGTGGTGCATTCTGATGTATCCTGCTCTGACTGGCTACTTGTATCACTTGCTGCACTCTGTGACTTAAACATCTTCCGCCAGAAGTCCTTGCGTCCCAGAACAGCCCCTTGCATTTGCTCGTCACTGCAAGAAATGACAACAGATAACAACAACTTTAATACAAATACTTGGCAGTAACTTTTACGCTGTCAAGCACATTTGAATGACAGTTTCTCATACTAACTTCTATTACTTGGCACTTGTTATTCTAAGAATTTCAGACTTATTTGTCTCAAGGTAATTTATTAAGCCAGATAACATGCTTGGTATTGCACAAGTCAAAAAATAACAATAGCTTCTGCCATGGAGCGCTTACATTTTAGAAAGGCTGTTCAGTTTTTTCTGTCCTTCTACTGAAGAATTTCACTTTTCTGGACAAAGTGACCAGTGATAGCATGCAAGAATAATGTCTTCAAAAAGTACATTTATTAAAAAGCTTTTGTATACTAAGATTCCATTTGGGACACTGTACGAAGTCATAGTTTTAACAAATTCATTGGAATACAAACAGTACACTCTGCCCCAACAACTCCAAATGGCCATGACAGGACTTTGACAAATAGGTATAAATATAATTCTTCTTCAGAAGACTAGAATTTGCTGCTGGGGCAGGGTTCATAAGATCATAGAAAAGTAGGGCTAGATGGGATTTCCTTAGGTTATTTAGGACAGACCCCTGTTCAAGGCAAGATAATCCCTGACTAAACCATCAAAGTCAAGTGTCTGGCTATCCTGCTCTTGAAAATTTTCAGGGATGGAGATTTCACAAATTCTCTAAGTAGCCTGTTGCAATGCTTGACCACCGTCATAGTCAGAAAGTTCTTCCTAATCTCCAACCTAGATTTCCTTTGCTGCAGTTTGAGGCCATTGGTCTAGTCCTGTCCCCTACAGCCACAGAAAAAGGCTATCTCCATCCTCTTTATAACCAACCTTCAAGTACTTGAAGACTGTTATCAAATCCCTTCCCTACTTTAGGCTTCTCTTCTCCAGACTATATAACACTAGTTCTTCCAGGCTTTTCTCATTAGTCATTTTTCCGATGACTAATAATTGCTGCTGTTCTCTGAACAACTCTTTCCAATTTGTCCCCCATCTTTTCTGAAGTGTGGAGCCTAAAACTGGACACAGTACTCCAGGTGAGGCCTTACTAGTGCCAAATCATGGAAGAATCACTTCTCTTGATTTCCAAGTGACACTTGTGTTAATACAACCTAATCTGTTGTTAGATTTTTATTTTGTGTAACAAGAGCACACTGTTGGTTCGTATTCAGTTTATCATTCACTGTAACCCCCAGGTCTATCTGTGCAGTACTGCAGCCCAGACAGATTCAGATTCAGTCCATCATGAAGCCACCATTTAAAGTAATATGACCTGGCACTTTTCATCCTTAGAGTGCTTTGCAAAGATCAATATCATCATCCTCATTTTATTGATAAGGAAACTGAGGCCCAGGGTGGTGAAGTGACTGGCAGAGCTGGGGAGAGAGCATGGGGTCCCTGGGCCCAAGTCCAGTGCTCCATTCCCTAGTGCCACCCTAATACAGAAGCTGACGGTAGCAGAAGGCAGAACAACAGATCAAGCAGGGAGCACAAGGAAGGAAGCTGAAAGCAGAGCAGGAGTGTGAGGAAGAAGCACAGAGTAGAGAGCAGAAAGCAGAGCAGCATATTGTATAGAGGAAGAGGATTGGAGGGGTACTCAGGGAGGATGTAGAGCTAACCTGTGGCATGCCTGCCAAAAAGGTTGGTCCTCCACTGGGTCAAACTGTATGAGAAGTTTCAAGAACTATGATTGTATTCAGCAAAGATGAACTTTAAGACTGGACCAAAACTCCAATTAACCAGACTAATATATACACCCACTCACATGTTTTGTTCAGTCATTCCTACAAAATTTTCTAACTAGAAAATTCTATTTCTTCTTAAACTAAGGCTTTCTCCCTCACAACCCATCTTTTCTCTACTTGATCCTGCAGCAAAGTTGGAGCATCGCATTTATGATTACGCATCATTTCCATGGCAACATAGATAAGTCTCTGCAGACTTAGTAGATGAAGAAGAAAAGAAAGGGGTGGGCAGGGTTGAAAGACTTAGAAATAGAAATCTCCCAGTTGAGATCTCTTCTCTCGTCGTAGGATATGGGCAGCTTCTCCTGAAAACATCATGTCTGTTATGTCTTCAGAAAATATAAACACATGTACGTACTGATAGCTTCACCAGACATTCTTACAGATTTCCACTATAGGAGACTAAAATCTCCAAGGTAGTATCTGCCAGAAAGAAAATTTGAAAAATATGAAAGGAAATGCAGGAGGCACAAGTTAATAACCAAGGATAGCTTCATTACACATATAATAATATTTAACTATTTTAAAAAATAGAACAACATAAATCATGGTCTCAAAAGGAAAATGTAAGGAATAGAAAAGGCAGGGATTTGGAGAGATTTCTAGTGAATTATAATTATTTTTTTCTTAATAGCAGATGTTAAATACCCTGGGGCAGTAGAAGATGCTTTTTCATGCTGAGTGTGTACAGACCCTAACCTCATGGACCTCCAATCACTAAAATAGCTGGCAGTACAGCTCATTTCAGCTTAGTACACAATGTTAGGCTTCACTGATTTTCTACTGAAATCAATGTTATGCCTAATTGAACCAATCCCTTCTTGCATTATGTGATGGGGGAATTTGATGGATATAATCATGAAGGCCAGTAGCAAATACCCACTGCATTTGTTGAATCACTTAAAGAAAAGAATCCTTAAAGAATTGGAGTTCTAAGCAGTCACACTGCTAAACATTCACTTACTGCTCTGGAGTCTGCAGTGGACGGCTGGAGAGGTAACTGCGACATTCATCGGGGGCAGACGATGCCTGTCCCTTATCAATAACAATGCTTCCCACCTCAGATCTGTGCAGACAACACAATCGAATTAACAGGTGGCATATCTCACTTCTCGTGAACATTGTTCACTAAACATGGAATCTAGCACTTTGAAAATTGAACTGTCTTAAATGCATGCCCCTATTTTTGTAAACTGTTGGCCTTTAATTGCTATAAAAATGCGTTGGTGTGGGGAACTGAGGCCAAGATTTTCAAAAACTGCTAATAATCTGATGCACTTTGGATTTTGGATACACAGTTTGAGACATTTTAAATGTGGCTAATGTCCAGAAAACTCTAACCTCAAATACCTTGGAATCTTGGCCAGTGGGCTTTGTGCATCTCAGAGATTGTCCAGTGGCTTTGTGTATCCAAAACTAAAAAAAGCTATGCAACAATTTTTTGATGTTGCCAGTTTCTTGAAACTCAACCTCTTTTTTTTCAGTTTAAAGCTCTCTTTTTGATCTATACTCACATTTCTGTCCTATGTTTTAATACAACATTACTCCAACAACGAGATCAAATTTCATATTAATAACTCAAAATTTCAAGACTAAATTTCTTTTGTATCATGATCCATGTCCTGGATCAGCCACCAGACAAAGCATGCCCACTAGAAAAAAGAAGCTTCCTCACCTGCATTGATGAGGTCTATTTGACTCAAGAAGTCTATGGGGTGACAAGAGGTAAGGTGCTGCTGGATCTGGTACTGGGCAAAAGGGATAATCTAGTCAGCAACCTGAGGATCAAAGGGAAGCTCGGTAATAGCAATCACAAGTTGATCACTTTCTCTATCCATCAGAAAGCTGGCAAATCAGTCAGCAATACAGAAATGCTTGAATTTAGGAAAAAGTGGACTTTCACAAGCTCAGGAGGTTGGTTGTTGAGGTCTTGATCTGACAGGGAGGGGAGTCCATGATGAGCGGTCGCTCCTTAAGGATGTGATCCTAAAAGCACAAGGAAAGTCC